GACTGGCCGAAGTCAGCACTCTAGCCAAAGTTAAGTGCCCGCGTCCCCCTGCCCGCCCTCCGCCTGCTGGGGGCCCGCTGCTCACCCTCCTTCTCCCCTACAGTGGTCGGATGTTATAGACGATAAAACAATATTGGCTTACCCATTCATAGATTAGCTTTTTGCATCACAAGTATTTTGATACGGTACAACTCGTACTTAACTTTTTACTGCTTTGTATAGTGTAATATGCCAGTGTATATATGCACTGTGTATTTCATATGAATAGTAGTGTGATAAATATATCGTAGGCTTTAGCAAAATGTTAAAATAGAAACTAAAATGCTTCTATGTAACTAACTCCGAGAATGGTGTAAAACAATTATTCTCTTTCTTCTATCTGTGGACTGGCCCTACCAAGTGATAACAGTGACAAAAACAGAGCTTAAGCATGCAGGAATGATTTATCGACTCTTATCGGGCGTTATCAGGGCGTTATCTGTTTTCCTAAGAAATACTTCAAACCTAACATTTGGAAGGAGTTCAGAATACACATCCAGGACTGCCATGCCCCGCAAAGTGTTATCTCCGAGCAGATTGTCTCTATGGTAAACTCTGTCACACTAGAAATGTTAGGAACAGAATTCAAACTATGGCACAAGCACCTGTAAGGAAAAGGTACCTCTGTTCAAGAGGTAGAATAACTTCCACCCTAATGTTTCAGAGTATGTTGACATGACGGCCTAAGGGAGGCCAAGGCCGCCTACAGCTCTACTTCCTAGAACCGCTGGGGTCAGAGGAACACTGCGATGTTTGCAGTTTTACAACTGGAAGGAAAACTGGCACTGGGTCGGGGCGGGGCAGTACCGCTCTCTGTCCACAAGGCGGCAGCAGTACGGCCGCGCTCAGGCCTTTAGGGGCAGACAGAACGGAGGCAGAAGGTGCCAGGGAGCCCTTTCCATTCCCTTCAGCCTCTGCAGCTGTTTTTTCGGTTTCAAGGCACTTGATTGGTTCATTCCTAGATGAAAACGTTATGTCTTCATTTTCAAAACTACTACCCATCTCTAGTCAGTTTCCTGTATACAAATGAGTGGATAGAGAGAGGATTTCTTTCCAAATGAATTTAGAGATAAATTCCTATTATTTGCCAATACCTATAAAAATGAAAAACTTTACAGGTTTTAGCATTCTACACCCACCCCTCCCTGTGAAATTTCTGGCAGTTTTGGGTCCCTCTGGGGGAGGGCAACTCACTTTGACTCCCCCCTCGTTCCCCACTCACCTGCTCTTCCACTGCAGTGGGGCTCCCTCTCCTAGGGACATTAGGGTGCCCCCAATGGCATCAGAGCCCCCAGTCTTCACCCCTTTTCCTTACCCGCAGAGAAGGCACAGAACGAGTCTAATTGCCCTGGGCAGCAGCACAGCGCTTCTTTCAAGCCCTTTCCTCATGTACATTCCCCCAAGAAAGGGACTCTGATGCAACAAGAAAGGGGGGGCAACCCCCAGAAGGGCTGAAGTTCCTCCCCAGCCTCGCTGTCACAGGCAAGAGGCAGAAACAGGAACTGACAGTGGAGAGGACACAGGAAAAAAGAACAGGGTGTAGCATGAAATTGACCAAAAAAAAAAAAACCAAAAAAAAATCCCAACCAAACAAAACACCCCTGGGATGGGTAGCATGACGTGACCCAAGGGTTCTGTGAGGAACAATGGCACAGGGAGCACCACAGAGCCGCAGAGAATAAAAAAGGAACACGAGTGAGACATGGAGGAGGACAGAGAAAAAGACTGAGTCCTACACACATAGTAAGGACAGAGGGTTACAGAGATAGAGAGGGAAACAAAGACTGAGAGAGGAAATGACCATGGCACATGCAGGTGGGGGAAGGTGGGCAAGGCGCAGCAGAGGAATGGAGAACGAGCGGCATGGCCAGCAGGTCAGAGGCTTACCAAGAGAAGGGTACAATGAGGGACAAGGGCTGGGCCGCAGCTGCAAACAGGTACAGGCCAACCAAAGAACAGTGAGAGAGACAAAGAAATACAGTCATAGTGCAGGACAAGATAAAAAAGGAGAGGAAGAAAGTAGGAGAAATGAAGATGCGGGCAGGGAGGGAGACAGAGACAAGAAGTAGAGGATAGGGATTGAGTAATATTTAATAAATAAATATTGAGTGTTTGTTTCTTGAAAAAAAAACAAAAACGAGAGTGAAGTAGGAACAGAAGAGGGAGCAAACAGAACAAGAAAGGAACACAAAAGACACACCAGACAGAGAGAAGAAAAAGGGTGGAAAGTTGGATATAAGGCTGAAAGAAAAACAGGAACAAACCCCAGGACTAAGTATTGGAGAGTGTGACTAATGAAGGTGTCGAAAAATCACCAGCTTGAATAGAACAGATTACTGTCATGGCTCGGCTGTGACCCTTTAATTAACATCCATCTCTTGGCAGGACCATAAACCCTCTGATAAAACATGAGGGAAAACTGAATGGTTGATGTGCTCCAATTTTGGTGCTGCTCAACCCTAATCCCAGCCCATGCCACCAGTGAACACCCTGATCTCTGAGCCTTTTCTTGGGGAAATTTCACCTTTATCCATTCTCTTCCCCCCCCAATATCTCTGTGTGATCAGAAGGAACCTGATGAGAGGCTTCTCCATTGCAGGGTCTTTGGAAATCCTGCAGTGACTTGGAGACTGAGCAAGAGGAGTATGTGAAAAACTGGATCCTTTACCGCCAACTAATACCAAACACCTTACTCTGGAGAAGAGAGAACAGCTTGTTTTTACACATCCAAATTCCTTCAAGTTTTAGTATCATGTTTCCTGGCATTGTGAGAAGTGTTTAGCACAGCAAAGTGAATAAAATGGTCTCATTTTCGGAAAACACAACTGAACAAGAACAGACAGCAAAACTACTTTGAAGCAATTTGGGCACACGTTTCCCTTTTTGCAATCTGAGCTTTCTTTTTTATCATGCCTGAAATTCTGAGTTCCTTAGAGTTGCCCCAGTCCTTCCCTCTCAGTGCTGCTCTAAAATGATTTGTATTTTTTGTCAAAAATAATTGTGTTCCTCAGAGAGGGCAAATGCTTTTATTCCAGGTATGTCAGGGTAGGGGAAACCCATAAAGGATATGGTCATCCATTACCTGAATGTAATTTAGACTAATAATTAAAAATGTAACACCATGTGAAAAGACTGTACTAATACTGTGGGAAAAAACAGAATCATCTTGCAGTCATAAAAATTAGAACAGCCTATGTTACATGTTACTGTTGCTCATCATTTTCTCTGGGTGTGGGACAACTGGCTTCATATTTTTTCTTCAGGGCTTTCAAATATACACGCAAACTGTCAGGGTCCAGTCGAGAATTTCTGGCAGTCTGAACCAATCTCATTGCTAACTGGTATGCAGCTCTCTGTTTCATCATCTCAGGAGTGCTCTTCTGTCTGTGCTGTTCTTAAAAATATATATACATTAGAACACGAAATTATGTTCTATTTAAAAAAACCAAACACTAGTATTAGCTATTTTCTAGCCTGTTTTTGATGTCCCAATTCTTGGTTTACATACAAACATTACACCTGTACTCCTTTACCCAAAGGGCCATTTGTGTTGTCAGCTAACAGTGACCTTCAGTATAATCTTTAAGAACTGGCTCCAGAAATACAAAGTTTAATGAAATCTGTTTTCATTAAAACATAGGCAGCACTTATCCTGTAATCTTTCAGAAACTCAAAATACATTTGAATAGTATAAAAACTGTGAAATACAGCATTAAAATTTTCTACTACATACCAAAATTTGTTTTGCAATGTGACTTGTGATTTCCTTTGCATCCAAAATTATGGATGATGGTAGGGAGGACACTTCTGCAGCTTTTATTCCTAAACATATAAAACACAAATCAGGATTTTTTATTATAATTTTTATCCCTACCTTCCATTTTACGCCTTCCAGAATTAACTTAGCCTGTTTTTCTAAAGGGTAAAGATTTAATTTTAATTTTTATTAAAATAATTTCAGTGTATTTTCTCTTTGTGTGTGGGTGGTTTTTTAGGGGCTTTTTTTGTTGGGGGGGAGGTGGTTTTGGGTTTTTCTTGTTTTGGATTTTTTGTTTTTGTTCATGAACAATAAGGTTTGGAGAGATACAAAATTAAATGTCGACTTTGTTTTAATGCTATCTCTGAAACACACCTCAACATCAAGCTACTGCCAGTAATACCGTAAATGGGTAGAATGAGACATATTAGGGGGTTAAAAGGAAAAAAAAAAAGGCACCATGGTGTTAACAGCTTTCTCGGTTTAGGTTTTTTAATTTGGCAGAAAATACAGTGGTTTTGCTAACTGCACTCTCAATTATATCCAGACATCCAGTGGACAGGGATGTCATTTTTCAACTTCTTTGTTGCCAACAGGCACACTTCCAGATACTGACGGTAAGAAAGAGATGTAGATATTTTTTCCTGCCCTAACATGATTTTTTAACTTCTTCCTTTATCCATACCCCTGGAAAATCTGTGGTTCATTGGGTGGTTTAATACTACAGGTTTAAAAATGGAGAAGGGTCATGAAGAGCCCTTGCATCCTTTCTTAGAATATGACTTTACTCAAAGTAAGGTAAAGCCAAGACATGAACACTGAGTTTCTAAAGGTCTCCTGTTCTCAGAAATTACTCTCTAAACATACAGTTCAGTGGAGTTAATGTTGGTCTAGCATCTAAAATTGAGCTTGTGCTGCTGAAGTTAAACAAACTTATTCTGAAATTCCAATCAAGGTGAGTTTTAAGTCCTGTTCCTTGAAGCTTAGCTGGAATAATTTCTAGTCTTCAGTTACCAATAGCTTGCAAAAGTCACATGTAGCTAATTTCCTCTTGCTTAAATTTTACCTAAATCAAGCAATCAACATCCGAATCTAGTATTTGGAAACATACAGATTTCTTTAAATCTTTGTCATTCACTCTTGACCCATAATTAATCAATCTGTACAATCTATACTTTAATTTATTCTGAAGTTAAAAGATAAGTAAATCCACTTTTCAGAGAACACTGATGCTTTTGTAGACCCTCTCAAAATTGTCTTAGCCTAATATCCTGTAAAATTCCTCTCCTTTTTTAAAGAAACTTGATTCCTTTTTGCTAATCAAAAAGGGCCAACCTGCTGTTAACCAGTCATATCACTGCTTATGGCAGACACATCTTCAAGTAACTACAGAACTTAAAGATGTGTCTGCCATACATACATTCGTTTACTTCCATAAGTGCAGACAAAATGAACTCAAGCAGTATATGCTCAGAATTACTCAACTCATTCAAACAGACATGAATCGAGGAAATACCGGCATCAGTAAGACATCAGTAAGATTTTTTTTTCACTACAAAACATCGTATAAGTTCTTCATACTACCCTAAACAGCTATCTCACTATGTGGTTACCTAAAACACATAATTATTTGGAGCAAATGACAGACCAGCATATCACTCTCTCTCTTTGAGAGAGACACAAACTCAAGAGAAACCTGTCTTCAGAATAAACACTGTTCGATGCCTAATAACTGAAGTAATATCTTGTGCAACTTTTGCTAACTGTAAGTCACAGTGGAATACATTACCATAGTTCTTTTCCTCTGTGTACCCTTTAGAAAGTGTGTAAGTGTAAGCAATTTTCTCCTTATTTCCAGCACTGCTTCTCACATGTTGCACTTCAAAATGGTAATTTTCCACATTGGGATATAAAGCGTCTATATGACATAGTTCCAGGAAATGCGTAGCAAACAGTGTAAATGCCTAAACAAGGAAACAAGAAAGAAAATTTATTTTGGCAATGATCCAGAAATAAATTAAAATAAATAAGAAAAATTAAATAATCTCACAGATGTCCAGGTTTTCCTCCAAAACACTGAAAAGCTGTCTTTACACTACTAAAGCAAACAAAAATCCTTAAGGGATGCATTCTAGCACTGCCAAGTACATCTTTTCCAACTGAGAATTCTTCTGCTCATTTCTCAAAAGAAGGAAAACAATATCAGAAACAAAGAAGAATCCACTATGCTTATAAAATCTGACTGGTGTGGATTGGAACGACTGTCAAATGGTTGCTTAATTCTCTCAATGAATTCTTTATCAAAAGTACAAGTGACAAAAAATATCTGAGCTTTTCAAACCAAAACCCCCTCCTAAGTACTCTGAATAAACTCTGAGGAGAAACAAACACCTGCACACTGAAAAGGTTCATAACAGCCCCCTGAGACTGATCACATAACTAGCAACAGAGGTGAAACTTGCAATCCATCTAAAGTTACCTGCCACTTTTCTAAACAAGTTTCTAACCTCTGTGATCAATTCATAAGTTGTGTGGAACTACCACTGTACTTTGAAAGGTAGCCACCAGGTAAAGAGGTTCACTTTTAACATTCAAGCATAAAGCAAAACTAAAACTAAACTAAATAAGTAAAACTAAACAGACTGGGTTATTCTCTTTCTAGACAGAGTTACAAGCTTGCAAGCAAGCTGAAAAGACATGGTGACCGGTGTTCTAGTTTTAAATGGACTAGAGCTAGTTTTCTTCACAGTAGTTTGTGTTGGGCTGCTTTGGATTTGTGACCAAGACAGTACTACTAACTCACCCATGTTTTAGCTACTGCAGAGCAGCGTTTGCACAGCACCAAGGGCTGTTCTGCTGCCCACCCTGTCCCACCAGCAAGCAGGCTCGGGGGTGTTCATGGAGCTGTAGGGGGACACAGCCAGGATGGCTGACCCAAACTCACCCCAGGGATATCCCACACCATACTACACCACCACAATAAGAACTGTGAGGAAGGAGGGACATTTGGCGTTCTGGTAACAATCACTGTGAGGAAACGGCATTCCTAGGCAGGAAACGACTGAACATCTGCCTGCTAATAGGAGGCAGTGAATGAATTCTGTATTTTGCTTCTGCATATGGCTTTCCTTACTTACTAAACCATCTTTATTTCAGCCCACAAGTCCTTGGGCTTGGGCTCTTGCTTGGGAGCAAGCAAGCAGCTGCGTGGTGTTTAGCAACGGACTGGGGCTAAATCACAACAACCAGTGAACAGAACTGCATCTTACGTCAGCATGTTTCCTCTATCACTGCAATTCTTACTTTTCACTGGTTATGCAAAACACATATCTAGCCAAGAAATCTTTGCAAAACTGTTGTTAAATTATGAGAAAATACTGTATTTACTTTCAGGATGACAAATCAATTCTAAGGCTTAAATTCCTTTAAAACAGAATTACCTTTAAGTTCAACAGATATTCACAGGCAGCATAACAAATTCCAATACCTTCTTCAGCACTGGTACCTCTCCCAAGTTCATCAATAATGATAAGTGACTTATCATTAGCATTTTGTATGATGTACGTTATCTAGAAAAATATTCAAAGTATTATCATTCCTACAAATGTGGATCTTTAAAAAGGAAATTTTTATGTTATTCAGATGGAACATAATGCAGAAATTAAAAAAAAATCTCATGAGATATAGCAATTTTACCTTCTCAAAGCTTTCAAACAGCTGTCAATTCTAATCAAGCAGAGTCACACTACAGAATTATTTCTCTTTTTTGCTGAACATATCACTTACCCTCAAAATTATATCAGTTTGTGAGAGGAAACTGAGAGAGCTTAGGCCCCAACAAATGATAATTTAAGCTGACCCAAATATATTTAAAGTACTATCCAACAAAGCACTGATTTTTATTCACACTGGAATATCTTTCTATTTAAGAGATGCTTAGTTTTCCACAGTTTATCATAAAAGAGAGGAAGGCTGAATTTTTTACTGTTTTTCAAAGTACACACTTTGAAATAGACTAGTACAATTTCTATTAGCTTAACAGTACAAATGGGCCTTGGACCTGGATAGCTATATTTCATACCTCTTTCATTTCCTTCATGAATGTTGATGCATTTGTTTCAATATCATCATCCATACCTATTCTGGTAAAAATCTGCTCTGCGATTCGAAAAGAACAATACTCTGCTGGGACATAAGAACCTACGAAACAAATAAAATACAAGTTTCTCTCATCACTAAAATATTTGCCTGAATACATCACTGGGAAAAAAAAAATTACTTTTACATTTGGTTTTTTGCATAGCAGAGAAAGCATCTTACTTGATAAAGTTTTGTAAATTATGTTCTACCATTAATTTATAAGAAAAAAGTTATTATATAGATAGGATAATTAGGAAGCTTATCAGTGAAACTTGTAAGAAATCATATGCCTGAAGCTGTTTGTCAGTCTAAAGGGATGCAGAACTCTAGGACTGTTTTACATTTCTGTGGCAACTGATTTACTAATCCTAAGAAATGTTAGTTTCCCAAAATCAAGATGATGTTGCCTTTATCAGACTCCAAAGCATAGTAGTTTTACTGAATAGGAAAAAACAGGAACCTTCTGCCAAAAACTTCACAGTCTGCTTTATTCATATTAAACTCACAGTTTTGAGAGCAATTCCTCAAGAACTTGCAGTTATTGGGGACTGAACCCACAAATGTGCGATGGATAAATTTTATTCTCCACTACTAAGTAGCTTCATTCTATAGAGTTAGGTCTTTGACATGGGCTACCAGACTTACTTTAAAAAAAAAAAGTCATGAGGAATTCCTGAATAAGGGAATGAATCTCAGTTAGACATTACGAATAGCTGGTTTCCTTTTAACTTTAGTAACAGAACCTTGCAATATTTGTTACTACTTTTATTTGAAGTAGTTGATTATTTATCTACTAATTGTACTTGTCTGGAAACATGTTTCTCTATGAAATTTAAGTATGCTTAAAGTAATGTGTTTCTTTTGGATGACTAACACGTGTCTGATCAGCATACTTGAAGGGCATTCACTATCAATCTAGCAGAAGGTGCTAGATTGGATTAGGGTGCTCCAAAGAATTAGGGCATGCAATTGTGCTTCTCTGAAGACAGACTGGGGAGGCTTCAAGACACACAGATGAGGCCCCATATGTTTCCAGCGGCAGATGAAAAACCTTACAGTTGCCTCTATAAGCAATGCAAGAGCTGGTAGAAGAAAATATTCTACAAATTACCTGTTAATATTTTATTTGGCTAAAATGTTATTCTGGAAGCTAAATCACTCAACTTTTATAAATACTTTTAACCAGAAAAAAAATGTGCTGCAGAAGACGATTAATACTGTACACTCTTACTCACCAATCTGTGCCATAATTTGACAGAGAGCAATCTGTTTCAAGTATGTTGATTTTCCACTCATATTTGGTCCTGTAATCATGACAAAATTGTTGCCCTCTGTCAGGTACGTGTTGTTAGACACAGGTTTTTCCATAGCTATCTTTTCAAGAATGGGATGCCATCCTTGCTTGATTGCTAAAGTATCAGTAAATTCTGGACGAACTAAATGAAGAAAAAAGATGTAAAACACTGAGGAGTTAGTGTGGGAACCTTTACATTACAAAGCTAGTATGTTTTGAAATAAAGTTAATTCTTCCAGAGCAGAGCTCTTGGGAAGAATTACCAGCCACTTTCAGGTACAGATTCTCATTACCATGCAAGCCTTCATGATTTATGACTATAAAAAGAAACCCATGACTGAAACTTTATTTCTAAATTAATTTTCTGTGGTTTTGTTCCCTACTAAGTAGGACTGAACTCCTAATAAAAATGCAATAATAAAAAAATGCAGTAATAAAAATGCAAAGAACTGAAGTATTTTTATAAAGTACAAGGGTTGTGGACTCCTGTTACTTCTAGGTATGTACTCTGTATTTGCACGCTAAACAGGAAAGTAGCATTCCTTCTATTTTTGTTATATGTTACCATACTGATTATTTGGAAATGCACCATGCCTACAAAGATCCATTTGATGCCAGAGAACTATCTCTACAGATCTCTGTCAGAATACAGTTCTTTTCTGAACCAATTACACATGGCTCCTTTATCTACCAGCATTAATGGAACAGAAAATGGCATAAACAGAGAGCGTCCATACACTTCATGCTTTTGAGTGGAATATGCTTAAACTGTCTATTTCAAGAAGAGTGACTGGGAAGGTTTATGGCAGCTAACTAGCAGAATTTAATTTCGATGAATGGAAGCAGAAAGAACATCAGCATAAAACTGGCAAAGACAGAGCAGAGACACCCACCTAAAGACTACTGAGACAGAAAAAGAATAGAACCAAACAAAATAGTCTGGTTGTTCTCCATCAGAAGGCTCTTGATCTAACCCATAACAGAATCAAGGAAGAAACTTACCATAATCAGAAAGAGTGCAGGCGTGGGCAAATGAAAGCAGCATATCCAGCATAGACACAATGTCAGACAGCTTGTATAAGCAATGAATGTGTTCATAGATCTCATTCAGTAGTTTACACACTATTCTGAAACAAGACATGGATTCAGCTGTTGCAGGGCACATCTGTCACTTTATAAAACTTACAAAAATAAAGGACGTATAATGTCCATGCTGCATGCCTTAGGATAAAAGGTCACTCATAAAATGCAATCACGTATACCAGATGCGAACAAATGTATAAATTTCTTGGAAGTAAATTAAGATCTTGTATCATCATCTCAAGCTAACATTCTGCTGATGAGACGTAAGACACACATCTCAAATACCAACAGCTCACATGAAAGCTTCACTAAATGAACTAAAAACATAGCTATGGAATCAAGTATGTTTTATTAACATTAATTCCCTTAGATCTTCATGTTAAAAAACCCTACATGGTTGCTAGAAAGAATTTCCATTCAACTGACAGGTAACATTACACCTACAAAGTTGTGAATCAGAGGAGAGCACTATGACATGCAGCAAGGACAAGATATAGAAATAGACAGTTCTGCTCTAAATATAAGGAACTGACTAAAAATACCAATTCTGCATTACAGATTCAAAACTAATGCATTCATTGTGCCATTTTGTGCAGGCAATTTATGCATTAAAAATTTACATGATGACTACTTCTATTAATAAATGCCAATATATTTGCAAACATGTTTAATACAATACACGATTTATGGGGGGGGTTTTTGTCTCAGGAGGTACAGTTGAACAGTGTTGCTTTAGAATATGGCCATAACTTAACAGAAAGAGAGCTTTAAAAGCCCGTGTACAGATAATTGGAGAAAATAAATATACTTAGCAAAGCACATTTATTTATTAATAAATATAGTATATTTATTAAATAAGTATATTTCTATAAATAAGTCTATTTATATAATAGTTTTAAGAGGTCTTACAAGTAGGTCATGTGATATATTTCTCTCAGAGACTCCTGACATCTTTCATTCATTTTTATTAAATCTGCTGAAGTGAAGCTGTATGTGTTTTTCATTTTCGTGATCTAGGGGGAATTGAAACCAACAGTAAGAGCTTGCCTCATTATCAGCAGGAAAAACAGCTTCTAAAACCAGAATTAGGAACCATATGGGGAAACAAAAGAGAAAAACAATGTCCAGTTTCATTTTTACTACATAATTTTTTATGAAAATTCCATTTAAGATAACAATTAGCAAGATACACAGCTTTATTCTTGCACAAAACATAATTGCATGTACTTGCACATTTTTGATTATACAACTGAATATAGCATAGTTATAAAAAGATCCCAATTAAAACTTCATTTACTTCTAAATATCTTCAGTGAAATTATTTTTATCGTTATTTACTGCATAATGTGCAGTTTATTGATATATTATACACAGTAAACAAAGTATAGTAAATAAAGTAAATATATTATGCTAAAATATATTTTGTACAGATACCTTTGTAAATTCTGAAGGAAGCTGGCCATTAGGTAATGTTGAACAATCAGCATTCATCTGGATAAAAAATCCACGAGCAGAGCTGAAACTTGTTTTCATGGGCAGGTTGTACTTTTCAGCAAGTTGCGTTATCATACCTACATACCACATACAAAGATTTAACCCAAATTACATACATTCAGGTACACACCTCTCCCTCTCCTCCTTGTGGTGGTACAAAGATGGAAACTCCTAATGGAAGGTTTCAGAAACACAAAACTAGTACCATCTCTATTTTTCACTATGTATGAATATAGGATTAGAATAAAACAGGAACTTCGTGACATATGACAGGTGCTAAAGTTTCTGATGCTCTTTAAAGTTTCCAACTATAGACTAAACTAAGATGGTCCTTTGTAGAAATCAATAATTTAAACTAAAAAAAGGAAATCATTTTCAGACAAAACTTTTTTCTTCTATTTTGACTTAATGATAAACAAGAAGGTTAGTAAAATGCAGTAATGCACATCATGCTAAAACTCCTTTTGTTCATGTTTTCCAACTCTTAATACCTTAGCTAAAAGGTAGTCCACAGATAGATCAAGACTGCTTAAAATATAAAGAACATTGAACACAGATACTTTAAATGAAGAAACTAAACCAAAGATTTACATGTTTTAAGCAGAATGTTTTAGATGGAGTAATTCTGTTCCATTACTTCAACTTTTATGCACTTCAAGAGAACAAGGACTAGCAGAGCTTTGAATACAGGAATCACCATATAATTGTTCAATTTTATTAAGATAAAACTGAGGTTTTATCCAGAAATGGAGAATCTCAGCTGCTTATCAATGACAATCGATCCATACCAATACTAAATACTTTTTATATGTGAGAAGGTTATAACACATACAATTACATGGCTTCTGTATGTCAAGGGCAATCTACTTTAAACTCCAAATAAATACAAATTTTAGTTTAAAATTACCTGCTATGTCATCAACAATTTCTGTGTATGTTCTACGAGCTATGTCAAGGAATTCATTGATGTTAGGCTTAACAGCGTAGCACTTCTGGGTCCTCATATTCAGACATCCTTTTGTGTATCTTGTATCATCATTAATTACACTTGTAATCTTTTCAAGTATAATTCCAAATCTGCAATATCAGTTGTATTATGAATTAGATACATAATACTTTATGATTTTTACTTGCAGTACCATCCCCAAATTACAAGCAGCAGTATTACAAGTAAGTGAAGCTACTTTTACATTTTCTACTGTTAAAACAAAACACTACATTACATTTATATTTTCACCTCAGAATGAATCCTGACTGTACCGAAGTCTGATAAAAAATAAAAATACTATTCACATCTTTGGGAGATATAAATTATTTCTCAAATATACGTTTTTTTCAAATACACAACACTTGAGTTTTGCATTATTATGGAGACTCTAGGAAACCAATACTCTTGTCTTTTCAGAATTATTTCTACGGGAGTTCAGTTTAGCAGCAACTCCACTATCACAGCCAGCTCTCTTGCTTTTCCCTGTATTCATTAGCTGAAAATTAAGATTTTCTGATAATTAAAATCAGCTTTAAGCAAAAGAATTGAGCTATACTCATAACTATAAACAGGCAAAGATGCAACATCTTTTATCTTACAGGCACTTTTGAGATGAAAGTTTCCAACAGAGTAGCTAAGTATTATGAGAAATACCTTGCATCTTCAAGAGAATTGTAATAAGCCTTTAGCAGCTGTGTGTTACAGCTTCTTAAAGCAGCCTGTTGAAGATTAAAACACGGACATGACAGTTACTTCTTTTTGCAGCCTTTTTAAATGACTGAAAGTTTTTAGATTCAGTGAGGCTAAATAGCACTTTTGTAAATAGTCGGTGGAATCCGAACAGGAGTTTCACTTAAATGTTTGGTATATAATCCACTATTCAGGTAATGGTAGGAATCCTGCTCTTCAGAGCATAGACACAAATGCGTACTTCTGACTGGCATTAAGAATCAATGTTGGCAGTATGTTGGCAGTATTGTGTTCTGTAATTATATTATTTTTTTACTTTATCGATCCCTTCCAACTTGAGATACTCTACGAAATTTAATAAACTGCACTTCACAAAAGTAAGGGAAAAATGGTCTGTAGCTTATTAAAAAACAAAAAACAAAAGACAAACAACGACCAAAAAAACCCCCAAGACAGCAACAAAAAAACCAAAGGCCACTTACTTTCAGAGGCTCCACAAGTTCTAAGGTATGCTTCAGGTAGATTAAATTAGTTATTTTTGATTCAGCAGTTTTAACCTGTTGAAAAATTTTCTGAATATTGAAGGCATCTGTATGACTGTTCTAAAAAGTACTTAAGAACTAGAAGAACTCATATTCTTACCAGTAAGAGGCTTACAGATTTCATAAAAATTCCTGAAACACTACATAAGCTCACTCTGACAACTTTGCATCTGCACAAAAAATGTTTACCTAAATTTTAGAGTGCCTGCTGTGATAGTTTGTCCATCGGTAGTTAAGATTTCCCTATGTTTCAACTGATAATAACTGACTCTAAGAATACCCTGCTAGCCCAAGCTGTGAAAACTTTTAATCTTCTATGTATACTTAACTCTATACAAGCTCTACACAATTTGTAGATTTTTTTCAAAGCAAATACATTATGTATTATAATGAAGCCCACAACCTTTTCCATTAATGCTGTTAAACACAACATAACCCAGTTTGGTTGATTTCTCTTTGGTTAATAAACATGTATCTTAGACATCTGCTCATATGATAAAAAAAAAAAAACTTTTTTTTTTTTTATCCAGTAAATATTTTTTTATCCAGTAAATATCCAGTAAATACTTCAAGATTTTTTTCACAGTAATGACTGTTCTACAAAATCTTTCATTCACAGAAGGCCTTGATCTTGTTTTGTAGGCCCCTACACTAACACTCACGATAAAGAATTTTGCTGCTGACATTAGGGTATAACATATGTGGTACACATATGCTGTGCAAAAGAATTTTAAGGAAATAACACAGATAAATGTAGATAAGCACATGAACATAGGAGCATGACCCCATGTGAAATCTTTTCTCATTCATATATAATATCTCTTTACTCTTGTGGCTGAAGGCATCTCATAACTTAGTCATATAAAAGGTTTTTTTGTAAAGACAAAACTAAACAGTGCTAAATGCATGAATGAAAAAATGCTAACCTCCAAATAAATATGGGGTTTAAGTCCCATGAAGGAATCGGATATGAAAAGAACTGATGTGGTCAAACATAAAAATGTGGTACTGGAATGGATCTTTGACTACTAATTAGTTTTTACAGGAATTTTAACTGAACTAGGGTTACAAGTGAATCACTGCACATGATACAGTCCAACTCAAAGGCAGTAAATTATTTCACCATTGACATGATTTTTCAAGCACACATCTCAACAAGACTGTATCAAGCAGTTTTTGAAGTTTAAGGCTTTTCTGCCTTGGAGTCTCCTTGAAGTGCAAGATGTTATTTATGCAATGAATATTAATTTTTTTCAAAAAAGACACTTAGTCCCTCAAGAAACAATGCTTTTTCCTAACTACTTTGTAACTGCACGACATAACCCGGAGAGAGAGCAGTAATTTTTAAAAAAATGGCCTTTCCCAACCTATTTTTTAAAGTACTGCCTGGGGAGGTGGTGGAGTCACCGTCCCTGGATGTGTTTAAAAAAAGTCTGGATGTGGCACTAGGTGCCAGGGTTAGGCTGAGATGTTAGGGCATGCGTTAAAGCCAATGAATCTTGAAGGTCTCTTCCAACCTGGTGATTCTGTGTGAGTGACAGCCTCCTTCGGATAAAAGAATGCTCATGCTGAACATACCACTCACACATTTAGTAACTGAAACTGTAGGCTTTTCAGATGTGCATATCATCTGCTGACTGGTGGAAGATTTACAATGAAAATTTTTATGGAGAGTAGAAATGAAACATAGTGAATAGCCTAGTATAGCATTTGACAAAAGCAACTGAACTAGCATTTGAATAAGCATGTCTGCTGTGTGCATAGTATGCTCTGCTATACTGGAACCAGCCAACAGTGAAAACACTGCAGTAAAAATGTTTGGTGATATGGTCCTATGCATACATAAAAGCATCCTGTGAGCCAGTTTTAGTCATTAAGAAGAACTCATGAATTCATGTTACACATTACTACAAGGAAAGCTCCAAAAAATAAACATTCTGGGTTTTGATTATGTCATTAAAGAGATTTATCTGCATTTATTACTACTGTCCTGTTTGAGTCTGTACCTGACTTCTTTAACTAGAAGTAGACAAATCCTTTATCTAAGCAGGTAAATCAGCATGTGAGAAGACACTGAATGGTGAAAGAGTTGAGAATATCTAAGATGCTGGCACACAAGCATAAATATAAGCTCAAAAGCAGTGGCAGACATATCCAACTCAAGTACAGTAGGCAAATGTAACTTTTAACACCATGGTTTCAATATGCTTAGTGGAAACAGAGCTGAGGTTCAGTAACCCCAAGCCCACTGTAGTTAACTGCTGAATCTAGTCTCAACCAAGATTCACGGGTGAACTACATGTATTTATTCCATTTTGATATTTGTATTACATGTGTTAACATGCAGACCGATATATGAGGCAAGGTCTAATGAAAAAATAATCTTGCTCTTAGACATAACAGTCACCAAGACTGTAAGTCACTAAACATTTTTTTCATTTATGCTGATGTGAAGAAAATTCCTCTCTCTCATCTGAGTACTGTTGAATAAAATGTACACTTATGAAGACTAAAGGTGGGGAGTGATGAAAGAGCAAACATTTTTGGAAGTACATTTGCATAAATCAGGATGAATTATAGACATCACATTTATATATTGCATGTTATGGACAGATAATTGATTTTTCCAAGGTGTACTCTGAAACATACTGTATCCTGCTTTGGAATCTGTACCAAAACTGAAAGTAGTTGTTCTGTATCCAGGAATTTTGAGATAACTGTAAAACAAAAGTATACACATCAGAAATTAAACTGAAATTATAAGATGTATTTTCTTTGAAAGGACACAATTAATTAGCTATACTAATGCTAATCTTTTTCTTACATTCTACTGTCACAAATTATTTACAGGGTAGAACTAGCTTTAAAATAGCTAACATCTGAATTATTTTGTTATAACTATACTTACAACTTACTATACCTAAGCATGCAGTGATTATGTATATGTATTATGTAATTCAGAAATACTTTTTGTTTCTTAGATTGAATTGTGCTTCTCTTGTGACACGGATGAAGATTATATGATCCAGTTTCAGGTGGACTAATTCTAGTATTGTATTTTGCCTTCCTCTGGATCATATGTTTTATGAAGCAACAGGAAGAAATATTTATACACAAGTATTACTTAAGCAATATGTCTGCTTTTTAATTTATACATTATATATACTTGTATACATCAAACATAATGCATACCCAGCCATAGAGGTAAAGAGACAAACTCCAACTCTTTTTAGAAAGCTGTTGGCTCACAGACTTTTATACACTGTTTCAGAGAAATTCAACTTTTCTAATCAAAGTATTTGAGAAAAGTATTGCTATGATAATATAGATTACTTTAAAAAATTAAGTGCTTACTATGTCACCTAACAAACCATTAAAAAATACTTTTCAAACATACTGAGACACACTACGTGCTTTCCTATATTAGAAAAACAATGTTTAAAAAGAAATACAGTATTAGTTGTTACAATATAAACTACTACCTCCTTGAAGACCAAAAAAGAGCTCCTCATCCTGGAGTAATTCCTGAACACAGTCCAGTCTTGTGTTAATTGTTTCAGCATCAACTAGAGGTTCCAGGATATTGGATCTGAGTCTCCGACTTCCACCAGGAGTTTTAGTGTAATTTAGAACACCAAGAAGTGTGTGACCATTCCTTTGAAAATAAAATAGATGTGAAGAATACATACACCAAAAAAAGAGATGGTAAGTGTCAGGAGACTTTAAAGGCCAGACTATCCCACAAATCTGAAGCATGCTTTGGCATGCTTAGCATCCCCCTGTTTGCCATGTATTATATGAACTCCAGCAGTTTAGGAAGCTAGGTAATTCAATGTAATTTAACATAATATTAGCCCTCAGTTATGTAAGTATAGAAATACATTTGAACTTGGAATTTTATTCATATTTTGTAGTAGTATTTCATTGCTACTGCCATGGTAAAGTTCACATTTTCCCTCTCAATTAGATTAATTGAAATGAACAAACGAACCCCACACAAGGAGGCAAATTATCAAGTTATAATCACAGATCAAATATTAATAGGAATAATTTACTTGAAATATATATCTGAAAATAATTTAAAACACTTAGAAGTCAAAAAGAGAAACCATTTTTTATTATTTAAAAACACATATTTCAGTTAATATAGGAGCTAAATAACATGCTTATAATTTCTACATATTAGTTTCAGCTTTATGGCTTTTACACCGTACATATCCTAGGGTTTCACACTTAAAGGTGATTGCATTTATGCAGAATAAGCCATCTATAATATTTACACCTACTACACAGTCAAATAGTTTTAGAAACCTGAAATCTTCTATGCTATTGGCTGGAAGATGACCCACGAAATACCAGGGCCATAACAACACAACAACAACAAGTTCTGATTTAAACCAGAACTTGAACAGGAAGAAGCCTGATACAAATACACAAAACACACACCATGAAGACAGATAGGTAGATAGGTAGGCACGTAGTAAGATAGGTAGGTAAGTACACAGAGTGAGCAGAAACACCCTGAAGTACCATGGTATAAAAAAAGCGAAGCAACAGTCAAGAGAATTTTTAAAAAATGGGGAAATTCAAACCCACTTGTATCAAGCCTGCATTTATTGTATGACGCAACCCATGACAACACTTAACTGCAACTCCATATTTGGGAGAGAATCCACAGTGCCTGTCTTTATGCAGTTGAGGACTTATTTCCCTGCACAGTTAAATGAAGAGACAAGGCCCTCCAAAATTAAGACTGGCACCCAAATTTGACTCAGGTATTTCTGGTGTGCGCCTGTGCTATTAACTTTTACCTGCTGATACCTCATACAAAGATATCTAACCAGGCTTTGGGGGTAAGATCTATGTAATAAAAATAGCTATGTCTGGCTGATTCAAACTTGCCAATGAATGGATCAGCAAAAATTCTGCATCAATAATGCTAAAAAAAACCAAAATCAGAGAAACTTAAAGCAGTTTGCTCAGTTCCTCCTGTAACCATCTTCCTCACAAAACCACCTGTGAAATTAAGAACAGAAAAAGATTCTTTCAGAAAAATATTGCTCCAAAAGTACCTTCCTATGCAAGGCATTCTGTGTTCTACTGTATCTCCCCAAGGGGAAAGCTCTTATGAACAGTACTTGGAGAGTGAGGAATCTCCAGGCTCCCCTTTTTATAACAGGATGATTAAGAAGACATCTAAATAGAGGTGGATCTCAGAACTTGACAGGTAGCAAAATGCAAGTTCCAGGTATTTCTCTTGCTAACCTTAAGTGTAATAGTCTGGAGAAGGAAAGACTTGAAATTTCTTCTGTCTACACGGCAACTAAATGCCAATTAAGGAAGTTCTCCAAGCATTGATCTCAATGCGGAAAACTACCATGCAACCAAGTACCACATTGCACAACCCCATCTTTCCCACTATTATATCTAAAAGGAAACAAAACAACCTTTGAAGGCTGAAGCATGTCTCTTGTGTAAAATGAGTAAAAGGCAGGTGTTTCAATCCAACATAAGACACTTGCAGAAATATTGCCTCTTTCATTTCCCAGTCTGTAAAATTTTGCATAAATAAATGTTTTTGCATAAATAAAGTCTGAATAAAACATACACATCAATGTAAAGATGATTATGCATCATCTCTTTCTACAATTCACTTTAGGATTTCCTGTGCTAGAAATTTTGTGCTGAATTGTAACGTATTTCTCTGTCAAGATATTTTTATAGAAGCTCTGAATAGTGTGCAAGTTCTCTCACATAGAAATAAATACAATGGTCAGCTCTTTGATACAAACGTCAAGGAAACTTAAGAGAAATCCATCTTTATAAAAACGTAACTTGAAAAAACTATTCTTACCGAGAATCTCTGTTATTAATCACTAGTTCAAGATTTTGTGCTGATGATGAATCTATCATAGCTGTTTTCTCACTCCCCTGGAAACGAACCTTTAGTGATTTAGGAGCATAAACGGCATTTTGGATAAATTCAACGTATTTTAGCAAAGCTGCTGCAGCTGCAAGACAGTAATACCTTGGGAAAAAAAAATCTTTTATGAATGTTGAATACTGCTAGAGAAATACCACAAAAGTAGTGCACTACAGAAATAACATTTACACTACTATGCCTTGGCAACTACTGTGATAAATAGCACAGAAAAGGCAGTATATTCCAAACATGCAAAACCCATGCCTAGTGAACATATATTCATACAGATCAAATGTTCATAAATGTTTGAGTCTCTGTACACTTGACAGCCTCCACTATATCACTGGTATTGTGAACATATGTATTTCAACAGACATATGTGATTTGAAGACCCTGGTCACCAGGTATCAGCACTTAAAATTGTTGATACATAGAAAATGCTTGCTGAGGCCAGAAAGAAAGGCAGTCACAGCTAGCTCTTGAAAGGTATCATTAAGAAAAGAATGAAAAAGACAAAGTGGAAAGCTGTGAAAACTCAAAAAAACACTCAACTGTAACAGGCTATGTAACAGGCTTTCTATTTACATTTCTACATATATCAAGAACACTGGAAGGCAAAATAAAAAGATCTGTTAAGAGTTTTCTAACTTTTGCAACATGACACAGATATATGTAATGAGTACATAACATGATTTTGTTAAAAACTTATCTGGTCACGGTATGCTCTTCCTTATTTAAACATACTTTGATTGGACTTCCATTAAAATGGTGCTAAATTCAGATGCACACAATTGTTCTATGTACTCCAAACCCTTTGTTTCATTGAAGTATTTTCTCTGGACAGTTGTAAAAGTCACATTCTGTGAAGATGGAGATGACAGCAAAAAGTTTTAAAAGTTACATCGGAGACACTTCTGTATTTTTCTAGTGATACATGTTTCCAAGAAATCTATCAATTGATTCTACAATCTGTCTTCATAGAAGTATTCATTCTAGCTTACTAGCACAAGCAGGTCAATGTAACTGGAGGTGTGTGATGCACAAGTGATTTATGTGAGAGAAAGAGGAGAGAGGTCAGGAAGTAGAAGAACACTCATGAAGAAGCCATCAGCTCTGCAGCAATGAAGCAATTCAGTAGTAATTAATAGGTTTTTTTAAAGGTTCTGAGGCATTCATATGCATAAATTACTTATACTAGTTCATTTTATCCTCTTTTACCCTGATAGTGTTCTTTTTCCGATTCTATGATACATCAGCCCCATTGATTTATCAGGTTGAGAGAACGAGGGAGAATGCTTGATTTTTTCATTTCTGTATCTTTTCTAGGTTCAGTTTTACCCAATGCCACAAATTCAAAACTTTCAGCTTTCATCAGCAATATACCTATCTCTGCTATTGTCAGTATTAGAAATAGCAGCAGGGGAGCTGCATTTAGTTTATTCACTACCATTCTAAAATTAGACCTGAAAATCATAGAAAACAAAATCTTCAGATTTTGAAAGTTGTGTAAAACTCTTAAATCAACCATCATATAAAAGTGATCAACAAGAACTCAAAAACGTTGAATGAAATTTTAGATATTACCTTGAAATGCTCCGTTATCAGACTGAACAAATTTGTTGTATTCCCTGCATCACAGGCAGTGTTTGACATTATTATTTCTAGTGGTGTCAAAATCTTGAGTTTAGTAATAACCTGGACAAAAAATTCAAAATAACCCGATTAAAAAAAAAAATATAACCTAAAATATTTTAAATAATGACCAGCAATAACAAAATACATAACTGTATTTTAGAATCAGTTCAAGTTTCAAATTATCTGCTAACTTCTACACTACCATGTATGAGTCAAATTAATTAAGTCAAATTAATATGTATCTCAATATACATGAAACCAAATTAAAAACAAACAAACAAAATTTAGAGCTTATCCACTGTTATTTGAACACAGAATTATGCTCGCTGTTGAAGCAAGAAATGAGTATTCAAAACTATCTTCCATAGCTATGATGGGGGAAAAGGACTTATTTCAACAGATGGCAGCTTTCTGGGTTTGCAGATGGAAGGTCAATGGTGCTCTGGATGATGAAGAAATAAAACATGTCTGAATACTACTAATCTTTTGATTGAGACTAAATTTTTATTTAGTTTTCATCTCCTCTAGTAACATTTATCTCAGTATTAACATAGCTAAAAATGTGCATATTTTACCAGCTTTATGTTACGCACACCCCCTGTAAGGGTTATTAGTAGATTATATGATCTTCTACTGTATAAGAAAGGACAAACAACATTATGAGTTTACGTTCATTTATACCAGCATTCACAAATTCTCAAGGGAGCAACATGAAAAAACAGACTATAGTTTAACTGCTTACAAGTTAAGATGTGCAAGAAGGGACAGATGACATCCCAGTAAAAAGGCAAACAAGTACAAAAAATACACAAAAAAAAATTATCTAAGGGCATTTGGGGTCAGAAGGCTGTCACTGCCCTTCATAGCTGCTAACCGCTAGGAAATTTTTTTCCAGTAGCATCACAGTTCAGCAGATCTTGAAGAACTTAAAGAATACAAGAAAACTTTCCTGAAATTATCTGCAGAACATTCAAAAACAGGAGTATGCCCAAGAAAGAGAAAATACAGTAGGCTGGATTCCAATCACTAGGCAGAGCATGGATTCTGAGTGTAAGTAAACTGCTGATCAGCAGATAACACAGAATTGTTGACAGGAATACGATTAATGTTCCTTTACAAACAGGTTGTGTGAATCTGCCTGCACATAGGGCCAGACTTGTAGATAAAGAAGTAACAGGACAAACCATTAATTTCAGAAAATGTTACTAACTGACACGGATTGCTGCTTAGCCAAGGTCATGCTCAATTCCTGAACTTTGAGAAGAACAAAGACTTAATAGGGTTATGAATATTAACTTCCCCAGCCAGGGTGGACTTAAAGCTAATTTTAATGGTCATGTATCATGCGTTATACAGGGGGGAGCATATTAAGGGGCACATTTAGGAGACAGATCACAAAGTCTGCACCTCCCAAGTACCTCAGACAGTAGGTTCTGGCAAAGAGGACAGGCAAAGGTTCCGCAGCCAGGAAGATTAGGATAAAAAGCAGGTGGCAGTCCTCCAACAACTTGAGAGACCCCATCAGGAAATGCCCCATGGCCTCTCCCTTTGTTCAAGAATAAAAGGTACAGAACTCCTCTGTCTCCTCTGTGGACATAAACTTCTGACCATGGATTTTTTCACACATTGTTAAGGGTGTGAAAGATTAAGGCAAGAAATTGGGCTTGGGGAAAAGCAGTTGTACACTAGCATCTCTCTTTCTTTGACTGGATGGTGAATGCAGTATCAGGTCTGAGCACAGAACAGAGAACTCAGTAATCTTAATGGAAAATTAGGAATATATGTGTACAAAGAAAATGCCAGCTTTTATATTGGTAAGGCAAGAAAACGATGAACAATCTGACGATGGCCTGAGAGGAAGCTATAAAGGATGCTCAATATGTAGCTAGGTATATTAAGACCAGAACAGGTTTTATAAGCACTAATGCTTAAAAATAAAGAAACCCATTATACAACATTGTACATTATACAACTGTAATGCACACAATGTAGTACAATATACATTGTACAACATTATACAACACCTGTTTTAGTAAACAGATTTGATGGCTATTTACATTCTGAGTCAGAGCTACTTACTGTCCTAACAGAACTTTTGTTTCTTTGAATATTGTAAAGATGCTACAAGCCACATTATTTTCTAGCATGCATACCTACAAAATAACCCATGAAATAAGATGTTTCACTAATGCCATTGCTGCATAAACCAGAGATTACTCACCAAATTAAAGTAAAATATGCAGTGCTGGCTGTAAATTGAGTGAATTTCCTTTCAATCTGAGATGGAGTATTTATGTAACCAACGCCAGAACTGTAACTACTCTATCACACACGCAGACATTTATGCACTTCTCAGAGTTGTTTTGCCTGGTGAAGAATACCTGCAAGTTCTACTACCATGTATTGCCCAATGCTCTTCAAAACGAGGCATCTCAGTCCCACAGTGTATTTTGCAGAAAGGCTATTTTTCTTTTGAAAAACATTCTTGCCTCTTTAATATCTGAGGCACAGTAAGGAAAAGAGCAGTCTTTTCAACACTGCACATTTTCTAGAACTTGTTACTTCCACTGCTGAGAAATTTCTTCCACAAACTAGAAATTTAATTTTCCATTATTCATAAACTTTTTTCAAGAAAGTAAATTGCAATAATGAGACTATAAAATACCTTGGCGTAAGTTGCATTGTCCGCAAATTGTGATAATATCATCTCAGGATTTTTTAAATCTATACTGGCTATTCCTACTTCACCTCTGGCAAGGCCTCTTCCTTCTACTACAGCTACAATAACTGACGCAACAGTATGAGCAGAAACTGCAGAGGAGGATGTAACTGTAAAACAGTCATATACATTCAGTCACATTCAATACAGATTAATGAGAGATTGATCAATGAACATCACAAACGACAGAGCAAGCATAAACAAATATACAGATGCAGGAAGGAATCATTATCAGTTTAGTCTTTAGGAACGTTAAAGACTGAACTGATAGTCATTAGTCAGACTGTGAAAGAAGTAACTTTAAATCCCAATACTTTCGCATTAGGAGAGCACATATGATACATATAACATGGCACAAGGCATCATGACCCTGTAACGCCATTTTGCTCATATGAAGCACTGCAAGATGTACCGTCAGCTCCTAAGCATTCAGGAGAACTAGTGTTCTATACCTCTGAACACGTCAACATAAAATACATAAAACTTGCATCAAGAAACTTGATAACTATGTTATATATGATGTCTAATGCATTACAAGGCTAAAAATGAACCCTGATTAGACATGTGCATGAATTTGGGCTCTTTAGTGACCACACTACATGTCCACAAATTTGGTTTTGGACAATTTGAAAGAAGTCTGAATTCTAACTACATTGATAATTCATACATGAATGCAAACTAAGTAGTAAGAGGATCCAATACCAAAACATCTTCTTAGTACACAAAGTAGTGCATTCTTGTTTGTGTACAGTTTCTTGGCAGTATCCTCTGTGGTACAAAACACATTGTGTTTTGAGTTTGTTTTAGTATCTTAATATAATCACATTAAAAACTAAACTGTTTAATAAAATAACATCAGAAATATAAGTTGGACTGTTTCCTCTAAGAGCTGTTAATCTTACCCGAATAACCCATAAGTGGGGTATGGCTTCTGCAACCAGATCTACCAGAAGAGAGAGGTGTTCTTCCTATACATGTGCTATTCAGGCCTCGCACAGAAGAAGAACTCGTGAGATCCAATGTGTTAGCATTTTCTACACAAGAACTCTTGTCCCCAAAATATGATTCTGAGGGGAGAGAAATAAGAAAATTATGAAAACAGCCACAACAAATTTTTATTCAGAAAGCAATATACAAAAAAACAGCTTGCAAAACTTCAATTTTTATTAGCAAAAATAGAGATATCCAAACAAAATGTCATTCTATGAAAGCTCTCCAGAGTATAAAATGAAATAAATCACACCGCTTTGAAAACAAGCTTGCACTAAAATTATTTTTTACAATGAGATTACCTGCAGTGCTAATAAAAAAATTATTTACATTGTTGAACAGAAATAATACAACATTAGTCACTTTACTAAGTATCATTTCATATGCTAATGAATTCTAAATTTATGAAAGAATGCTTTAAATCAACTTTATCTCACATTTAACCATTATTTGAAAAATCATTATCTAAAACTGCGCATGTGTTTGTGAAATCCTTTTTTAAAAGCTGAGCATTCCTTTTGAAAAGCAGGACAATAAAAGAAGAAAAAGAACCACTTGGGAATGATAACCCTATTTATGGGTTCAATTTATGGGGATCAACTCTCGGAAATTATACAGTAATCTGGGATGTATTTGTTAACAGCAGTTTCTTTCACACATGTAATTGAGATCTACCTACGTTTTTAAAGTCCTGCAAAATATCTTTGTCTCAGAACACTTTAAATTTTCAATGAATTATTTAAGTAATTTACTTCTTTTTAATTCTCTTGAGATTACTGAAGGCATTGTTAACCTAGTTTAGATAACTGCTTTCTAAGATTTAAAAAATAAATTAAAATACAAACAGCAGATCCACTTTAAAAACTCCATGTATTATAAAACATGCAAGCACAAATGTTTCTGTTTCTTATATTACATTAAAAACTGACACACAGGACAAAATACGTAAGTAATGGTTTTCAATGATCAATTAATTGCATGAGTCTTTATCGAGGCTGGCTGGTAGAAAAATATCTACTGTACTGGAATTCTGGAGTTTGTTCAGGTGAGGTGGGCTTTTCTTTGTGTTTGTTTGGTTGGGAGTTTTTTTTAATCTTAAAACAGTGACAAGTGATAAAAATATTAGCTCAGATCTTTGGCTGAGGACTTCTTTAGGAGTGGACATATCAGCCTATTTTTTTTAAATAGCACTCACTCAGATTTTGGCCTAAATTCAGTCAGAATTTTGGCAGAAGAGACTTCCTGTAGAAGACACTGAATCTGGCATAACGGGGAAAACCAGTAATTTGAAAGACCAAATGAACCAAGTGATATACAGCTATTTCTCAACCCAACATTTAGATCGTCCTGCTTGAATTAGCATTGTGTTTGCGTTGGTTTTTTTTTTAGGACTCCTCAGTAGTCATATGTAATACCTAAACGCATTTTACCTAATTTCCAATTTATACACAATGGAGATACACGTACATCAGAATTCATTGCAGCGTTAAAATAATTTCCAACTCTTTTCATAGTTTCTTTTCGTCTGAAAATACCACAATTTTAACTTCTTTTTGCTGCCACCAAGATACAGACTTTGATAGTAGATTTTTATAAAGAATGGCAAGTAGCAGTATTGCATTGTAGGAACACAACATTCTTACCGCACACCGACATCCACAGGCTCTTAAAACTATTTCAAAGCCAGGCGTAAAAATAAAAACAAAACCAAAAAGCAACAAAACTCCTGAAACAACCAATAAGTCAAACACAAACCTATATTTCGGTTCTCTCCTGTAAAGCAAACGCTGTGCAGCAATTCAAACACGTTTACTGGTCCCACCAGAGAGCTCAGCTACACCAAGGAACTATTTCCATAGTTCTGTCCAGCTAAATGACAAAGGTCGCTATGAAGCTTAGCTGCACCTGCCCCATCTCAGTAAGGACCGCTTTTAACAGCTCTTTCGAACCCGACCCGAGCAAAGACAGCAGAAAGAAACAGATAAAGGCCCAGGCAGAGAGCGTACCTCCCCTTTCGGACACCGACGGCTTCACGGCGCTGTTCCCGGCAGCCCGGC